AAATCATTATTATGAAAAGTTGATATTATTAATAGCCGTGCAATTTAATTTTGCTTACATCGACTTCTTTGAAATAAAGTCCCGAAATGATATAAATTTGCATTTAGTATTGCCGATGTATGTCCTTCGTTATAATAAAACGACATACTAAATGAGATCGTCCGCTTTGATTTTCTGCAAGTTGACTATTTCGGCGTTAATATTGCAAATTTACTTTGTTTGTCCAATGGGTTTCTCGTTTATTGTAATATTATAGTACAGAGCGGACCCGTATATACTTAGAGAAAGCCACGCTCCACCGTACAAAAATAAGAACCTTATTTGAATAGATTTTTTAAAATCTGCTACAGAATGTTTACTTTGGCCTCTACATCTCCACGAATCACTCCCCATTTCTGTCGTATTAAAAGTTAATTAACTCAAAATCCCGAGAAAATGTTTCTAACAAAGAAAATTACTTCTTCATCAACATAAAGAGCACTGAAAATATAGTTCATGTTATCCGTCGCACATCTCTCTTTAAACGATTTCACAGAAAAGGGGAAGCAACTACAATGACATCAAGGAAACCGATTTCTATTTAAACTATGATAAAAAGAACAAACAAGACAGAACTCCAATTCTGTTCTTTATAACAACAGCAAAATTGTATTTCAAACAGTAAATATTGTATCATACCAATTAATAATTCGATCATTGGAGATAACCTTATGTCATTTGCTGGGGTTGGTGTAGCTTAGACGTTATGTTTCTATGTAGTGTTTTGTAGGCTAGCTGTTTTTTGTCTTTTCGTCTTTTCTCTCTTTGGTCGTGATAATGACTCTGGATGGAATAGAATAGAGAATATTGGGCGAAAAAACAAAGAATAGAGAAAAATGAAAAAAAATAGAGAATTTGGGTGCTAAAATATAAAGAAAAGAGAATAATGGGCAGAAAAAAGGTCGAACCCACCCAGACCTCCATGATAATGTTTGCTTTTATTGACCACTTGGTATCTTTTGCTCCCCTTTTTCTGAACCACTTTTGTGAAAAGGAAAACGGAAGTGAAGTAATAGGATCAATTTTACTATGAACATCTTTATGTATTGATTTTTTTTACACACACGATATCTTATCTGTGTGTGTCACACACTTCATTTTATAAGATAGAAGATATGATAAAATACTTTTCATGTTATATATACAGATATAGATTTGTGAAAAGTAGAAATTTCTTTGATAAACAAAATATATGTTTTACTGTGTTTATACAACAATATAAACACAAATTAAATACGAAATAGTATGTGTAAACATACATCTAACAATATACAAAAATAACATAACATTATTTTGCGTGCATTCAAAGAAAAAACCAAATTTTCATTTTTGTATCCTATTTATAACTAGAAATAATCATTGCATGTTTTAACCTTGTTTTTATTGTATACGGGGTTTTCATTAACTGATCATATGTCATTCTGTCATAATGACACGTTACGAGGGTTTGGATTTGGGGGAAAAGGGGTGGGAGGTTGCTTTATTGTGATTTTATTTAAATTTTTGAGGCATCTTTCTTTATCTTTAAAAGTAACGCTTATTCTGTAGAATTCTCATTAAAATGATTGTACTATTAAATTGGCATGTTATATTTATTCTGCACATCGTTTATATCTGTATGCAGTATTGTATTGGCTAATTCTCTAATTTTCTAGTCTTGCACAACTTTTTTCGGTTTTGTTTATATTTTTCGCTCATTTTTCCATTTTGACCATTATTCTCTCTTCTATTAACCCCATCTAGACCCTCGCTCTGTTACAATGTATGTGAGGTGAAGGTGAACCATACGACACAAACAATTAATGCAGCTACATCAGTATTGAAACAATCTATCAAATGATGAGATAATATTTGTATCACTTTGAATGTTACTATCAGATGTAATCAAAAGTTATTTTTGCCATATTATATTGATTGATTGATTGTTGTTTGTTCAATGTCCAGTGGCACATACTTTAGGAAAATTCAAGGCGAGACCAAGTTAACAATGTAATACTAAGTACTATAACAGAGGTTTACTGGGATGAAGGACGGAACATTGTCAGTTCCACTGGATAATAAGGGAATTTTAGATAAATACAGAAATGTTGCCTTCCAACAGGCCAGCAATGGACCCTTCACTCTATTGGTGGTCTCTTGTTTAAATCATAACATTTTTCTATCATTAATCCGCCCCAGTCTTCACAGCTGCTTAGATTGATTTTTTTCGGATGGTCTTATTAAGCACTTCGTCTCTTCCACAGATATATTTTCTTTTTTATAGTAATCGTCGGAATCTCGTTCTATCATTAAAGTTTAACCTTGTTATTAGATTGATTTATTTACTTTCATTGTAGAAGGAGGAGAATGTATGCTAGCTTAAACGAGTTAAGAAGGAACCCATACCGTATGAGATACTGCTTAAAATTTATCATGTTAACACAAAAGATGTCAGTAATCTTTCAAATCTTCTAACTTATGTCTGATGTCTTTTAGGTTTTTCCGGATTTCCTTAAAGTGTGAATGATCTCATATAGATACGTCTGACCGTACTTTACATGACAGATATATGGAGGTAAAAAATCTTCGAAATTTTACAGACATCTTTGATAGAAGAAACTCTCGTATCATTGATAATGAACAATATCCTGAATTGTGGCAGATAAATCGAGGACAATAATAAAAAAAAAATAATAATATAGTTTTTAATTTTAGACTTTGATTTAGAAATCGTTCACTTACATCATCCTATTTATATTGCAATTTCAAGGCTTATGCACAACCCGATTCTGTTTTTTTTTCTACATTATACTGTTTAGACTGTATTTTCTCAGAGGAAATTAGAATAGGGGGGAAGAGAATGGTTCAACCAATTTGTGGTTCTATGATTAGCATCTACGGTCAACGTTTTTCGATACTTCAATTTAAAAAGGAAATATTGATTGAAATCCTTTCTGTACGGATAATTTCGGCGGTCAGTATGTATTATATTTTAGTATCGCTTAACTTATGCGATGGTCGTTGCTTAATGGTTAAGACAAGGATGTCACTAATTATTTAACAGCCACCAATCTATAATCCTAAATACTGTACCAATCCTACGTACATCATATATGTTTCCCAAGCTTAGATTGATTTATTACTTTTTCGTTTTCTTTTTCTTGGTTTTGTTTTTATATTAATTTTTATATGCATATTTTTATTACATGTACTATGTGTTTCCTTGTATAGCGAACGCACATCCCTTTACTGTGTATGGGTCTTTCAACATTATATAGTATAAAAATAATGGTATAAATCGAAAGGTAATATTGTAGTTTCATTCGAGTATCTGTTTTCAAGACGGATTTGGGTATTCCGTTATCACCACATAATTTAGAATTTATTATCATTCCATACGAATATACGGAGAAGGGGAAACAACTACAATGACATCAGGTAAAATGCATTATATTCACGTTAAGATAAAATGAAAACATAATTACAGCAGAGTTCTAATTTTGTTCTTTCTGAATCAATATTGAAAGAATTTTTCGAAGATCTATCAAAAAAACGAGATAAGATTTGTATCACTTTTAATGCTACTATCAGATGGTATTCAAAGTTATTTTTGACATATTATATTGATTAATTAATTGTTGTTTGTTAAATGTCTAGCGGTACATACTTCAGTAAGATTTAAGGCGAGAAAAAAATCAATAGTTAGGTACTATAACAGAGTTTACTGGGATGAAGGACAGGAAATTGGTAATGCCACATGAAAATAAGGGAATTTTAGATAGGGACAGAAATTTAGTCTTCCAAAAGGCCACCAACTTCACGCTTTTGGTGATACTAAGTTTACCACTTTGGTTTAAATCATAACATTTTCTATCATTAATTCGCCTCAGTCTCCACAGTTGCTCTGCCGTTTCTTTCTGATAGTCTTAATTAAGGACTTCGTCTCTTCCACAGTTCTATTTTCTTTTTATAGTAATTAATAATAGAATCTCGTCCTATCAATGTAGTTTAACCCTAACTTTGTTATTAGACATATGCTAGCTCCAATTAACAAGGAACCCATACCGTATGAGATACTGATTAACATTGTTCATGTTTACATAAAAGATGTCAGTAATCCTTAAAATCTTCTAACTTATGTTTTATGTCTTTTAGGTTTTTCTGATTTCCTTAAGGTTAGAAATTATCTCATATAGATACGTCTGACCGTACTTTACATGACAGATATATGGGTGTAAAAAATCTGCGGCGGATAAATCGAAGATATTAATTAAAAAATAACAGTTTTTAATTTTAGGTTTTAGATTTAGAAATTGTTCACTTACATTGCAATTTCAAGGCTTATGCACAACCCGATACTGGTTTTTTTCCCGTACTGTTTAGGCTGTTTTGTTTTCTTTCTCTCTCGGAGGAAAGAATAGAGAGAAGAGAATAATTCAGTCACTTTGTGTGTCTATGATTAGCATCTACGGTCAACGCTTTTCGATATTTCAATTTAGAAAAAAAATATTCATTGAAATCTTTTCTGTACGGATAATTTCGGCGATCAGTATGTATTATATTTTAGTATGATATCGCTTGACTAATGCGATGGTCGTTGATTGATGGTTAGGACAAGGATCCCACTAAATATAATTATTTAACAGCCACCAATCTATAATCCTAAATACCATACCAATCATAAATCATATATATTTCGAAGCTTCGATTAATTTATCACTTTTTCTTGTTTTTGTTTTTATATTATTTTTATATGCATATCTATATATGCATATTTCAATTACAGACTAACTATTTGTTTCGATCCTTGTATAGCGAACGCACATCCCTTTGCTGTGTATGGGTTTTTTCGTTGAAAAACAATTGTATAAATCTAAAGGTAGTAATTGTAGTTTCATTCGATTATCTTTTTTTCAAGACAGATTTTGGTACATTCCGTTATAACCACATAATTTAGAATTTATTATCATTCCATAAACGAATATACGGAGTAGGGGAAACAACTACAATGACATCAGGTAAATTGCTCTATATAAATGAAAACATAATTACAGCAGAATTCTTATTTTGTTCTTTCTGTAGCAATATTTCATTTTTAACGTGGAATGCTGTATTATATCATATATATTCAATAAGACAAAACAAGCACTTCCAATCACTACAGGTCATATTTGCTTTATGCACTGGTTTTCTGTGGAGTTTTTATAGATTTGTTTGTATTTTCGTCAGCTCCATCCCGCACGTTTTGCCGTTGTTATGTCTTTTATTTTATTTTCCATTTGATAACACCATCAGTTCCCCCTTTTAAGAATGAAGGAAAACTAAAAAATAACTTAAACATGTTAAAATACGATCAATTTAAGTTCGAAAATCTTCTATTGATTTTATTTACACACACAATCTCTTATGTGTGTACAGAACACTTCATATTATTATAGTTGTAAGATCGAAATTTTTTACACATACAATCTCTTATCTGTGTGCAGAACACTTCATTTTACTAGTTCTTGTTATGTAATGCAAATATGTATTTGCTATGCAGGCTTTAGGGTTGAGAGTTGAAATTTTATTAATATGAAAATAAATTCTGATAGAGAAAATAATATTGTCGAACATTAAGTAAAATACAACATTCAAGATGTGAATTATATAGACTGAATGTTTGTATAAATACAGTAATATATAATAATGATAGTTTTGCGATTTATGCTTATTATTATTATATAATTGATATTACGCTGTCATTAAACTACGATCCCAACACAAATAAATATAACGCTGATGTGCTGAAGACCGGTCCAGGCAGCAATATTTCACAGGTAGCATCTTGTCCATAGTCTAAATAAAATCAAGTAAATTACGATTCTGATGTGGAAATAGGCATTTCAGGATGTTACATGACAGATATATGTGTAAAACCTGAAGCATCTGAAAAAAAATAATAATACAACAGCAAACGAAGCTTAATTTATTAGGTCGGAGGAGGGTGGGTCTAAAATTCCAAACGTCTTCTCAGCTTGGTTTTCAAAATAAATATTTAAATGCACAAAGTTTACCAGCAAAACTCTCATATGCTTGAACAATAACAATAGCAGTAAAGGACGTCTCGATTTGACAAGAATGTCCATACACGTATTTGTTAATTCAATAAAGATATTTAATTTAAATTTAATTCATTTCTATTATTAGTTTACTGATTGCATATTGAACCTACAATTTATCTAACAATTTATTTTCTGCTTTATATATGTGTGATTTATTTTAGTACTAAATGTATGTACTTGGTCTTGTAAAACATTTCAATTTAATAAAACAAACTTGTGACTAAGACATGACGTCGAATAAGATACATGATAGTTTTTGCATTTGCTATTTTTTTTAAAATTTCTTTACAAACAGAAAAGAAAAGTTTAGCTGGCAAGATTGCCATAGTGACAGGTGCATCCAGTGGAATTGGAGAAGCTATAGGAATAACATTAGCTAAAGCTGGAGCTAAAGTGGCATTAGCCGCCCGACGGGTAGATAAACTAGAAGATGTGAAAAGAAGAATAGAGGAATTTGGAGGAGTTTGCATTCAAGTCAAAACAGATGTTGCTGTCAGAAGCGATGTAAGATAACTTCTTCAATGTTTAACTGTTAAATAAAAAACAAAAGAATCACATTTAATTACAGATTATCGTTGGTCATCTCAACGAGATTGTTTTCGGGACTGCGAAAGTGAGAAAAGTAATCGAATTGAGAAAACCAATGATTGTCGTTTTTTTATTTTATTTTACCTATGACGACGTTGTCATAGCACGTGCGCCATTAGTTTCTAGCGATTATTGTTCTTATCGCTATTTCACGAAATTTTCCTTTGATCGTACTGACTGATAACTTCCTCTCTCAGCACAGTTGAGTGATATGAAAAATTCTCGGTAGAAACTAAGGGTGCACGTGCCTTTGTGAATTAAATCAACAACGTCGTAAAAGGTAAAATAGTGATAAACAGAGTATCATTGGTCATCTCAACTCGATTGCTTTTCTCACTTTCACCGTACCGGCTCTAGCAGGAAAGTCAATCTCGTTGAAATGACCAACGATAATCTAAAAATATCAGTCTACTGTACTGAGAAAGGAAAATCATGAGTCAGTAAGATCAAAGGAAAATTTCGTAAAATAGCGATAATGTCTAATCTTTAAAGAAACATCGAAAAATTCTTATCGAAATGAGTTAATGAAAGCATATAATAACTGAACACAGAAAAGATTAATAATTAAGAATGAATAATTGATAACTAGCAAATATCAATACCTTTTACCGGTTCACTCGTTAATAGTGTTCCCAAATTTCAGAGAAAAGGCCTTTAACGTTATGCATGTCACATACTTTAATGAATATAGAAAAATGTAAAAATATCACCAAACACACAATACATGGGATCCTCCGGTCGACATACGATAGTGTACGATAGACATCGGAGCATATTCTGCATTTCATGTTTTTGGAAACTTAGTATAATTCTTGACAAATTTTTGATAGCTCATTGTGAGGTTTTTCACTGTTCTCAATTCGGGTCAATTAAGGACTTTCACATTATACACAGACAAAAGTTTTTTTTTATTGAAACCGTACGAATAATTTCTAGATGTCTGTTGGTTTTGCGTCGTTGTGTTGCTGTCGGAATATGATTTTGAAAATGAATATCCTTATTTGGTACATGTAAGAGCTGAAAATAAATAAGACAGGATGGAAATTTATATTATGTAACACAATTATAAAACAGGAAAATCGTTGACAAAATAAGTATGCATTGGGACGAAGGGAAATGGAAGGTCTATATGCAAAAAATCTAGAGTCGGTTTAACAAAAAAAAATTACTACTAAGATTGATCATAGTCATGAACAATTCAGAAGACTTACGAACAATATTTGCGTAAGTCTTTTTGAGAAACCGACTCCTACCTCCCCCTTCCCCCAGAATATAAAAAAAACAAAATTGGTACCGTGCTATGTGATCGTTTCCATTAATTTTTCGTAGCCAATTATTGTTTCCTGAAACGGTCCTAAATATGCGTCTCATGCTTTAAGGTTAAGGAACTAGTGAGGAGAACAGAAACAGAATTGGGACCAGTCGATATAATGATCAACAATGCGGGAACATGGTATTATACACTGGTTAAAAACTTACACGAAGATAAATGGGATCAAATGATAGATGTTAACTGTAAGGTAAGTAAATAAATTAAATAATACTTATATTCTACTTCACTTCGTTCATATTTTTATAAGTTTCTAATTTCTATTTAATAAATAACCTATTATACTAACGTTAGTATAATAATCCCAGAAATAACAAACAAAAATAAAGGATTGACATGGCACACCAACCAGTTTAAATTATATAATGTTTGACATAGAATGTCGATAGAGTTCAAAACGGTTGACTTCCCCAATGAATCTTCAAAATACAGGTCAGAATGTTTGAAAAATTGGTATCATGTTAAGTACTAGTACTACATGCAAATTGTTTCGATAATATACATGTCAAAATGGTGTTAATTTATCTCGATAAATGAAAAAGGCGAGAGAAAACCTTTTATAGTCGAGTAGACCTAACTCCCTACAAAAAAAAAGCACAAGCAAATACATACACCGAAAATTCAAAATGAAATAAATGTTGAAGGAGCAGACGTGTATGACACACAAATAAAATTCAGCAGCGACTGATGGTTTGCTCCCTGAATCGTATTTGAATATTTTGGACCGGAATCTATCATTTATCTATATACATGTATATCAGAAAACAAGTATGAATTCAATACTTATTATTTTGTTTGCAGATCAACCAAATGATATTAGGTACAAGTCTTTGTAAAATTCAGGCAATTTAGAAAAAAAATCAAAATATGGCCGTACAAAAACCATCATATTTTGTTGATGGGTGTCTTGTTATTCGATAAATCCCTAGATAACTTTTGATTAGAATGAATTCAAATAACGGCTCCCTTAAATTGTTAGTTTCTGGTGCATTTCAAGCAAATTCTGTTTTTAATTACCTAAACAAGAGAAGGAAATGAATGTTATATTCACGCACCTTTATACAATTTTATCATATATTAATGTCAACTTGAGTGGGTTTGTATTAGTCGTGTTTTCACAATTGCCTGATTATGAGCCAGATTGGCACTTAAAACTGAATTAATTCAAAGTGAAGACATTAAAGTAGCATTTATACACCTTTACACATGTAGATGGCAGATCGGGACACCTTAACAATATCTTTAAGTTATATGCATTCATCAATTGCTACTCCACCAATCAAATTTTGTATTTGGTGATACAGTCTTGGTGATACAAAGAAGGAATATGATGATATTTATAGGTTTCACAACGAGCAAGAATTGGATATTACTTGATATCCACTCGAGTATTTAATTTAAATATAATAATAAACGAGCCTTTGGGGAGTTTATTACTACTATTTCAACTAAATAACGAGAGTTGATGTTAAGCGATATCAAATTCTCATAAGTTGTTAAACCTATTTCTTTTAAGGGCAACACTCTCACTGTGTAAAACTAAAAATTCCGTGCGAATCGTTGATGTAGTCTTTGCACATACCAGTATGACGTCACATATCCTGTTCAACTTAAACATTCGACATTTTGAAACTTTTTCTACGCTTCAGAATGTATTAGAAATTGAGCGAAAAGTTTTGTATATTATTGAAAAATCCACATATAACCGTTGCCATGGACGAGAAAAACATCGGCTTAACCTTTGATGACCTTCCCAATAGCCAATGAAAAGGTTGTAATATCGTTTCATGATGTTAGATAAGTCAATCATCAATGTTTTTTTTATATATCAAGCTACATTGAAAATGTAAGGCATCAGCATGATCAGTAAAGCTAGGTTTACACTGTCAATCAGACCAACTCGATCAATCTCGATCAAGACAAATTAAGCGATCGGGAGACTGGTCTGACTCAATTGACAAGAATGTTCGGGATGGTCGAACTTGGTCGTCATTGATCTGACTTTCTATCCGAGACTTGTCAAAAATATTCGAGTAAGGATTGAGAAGCAAGTCACTCGAGAAGAGATCGAGAATTCGTCGAGTAGCGGTCGAATTGATCGGGAAAGGATCGTGTAGAGATCGAGTTTGGTCGGATAACAAATATTGTACCGATCAGTACTCGATCATCTCGACCTTTGCTCGACTAATATCCGATCATTTCCCGATCAACGCCAACCTGTTTAATATGTGGTCTAGATTAACTCAACCAATGCCCGATCGCTTCATGATCACTGCGACTTCTATATTTTTCTTATCCCAGACCAACTCGACCAATACCCGATCACTATGCGACTACATTCGACCACTCTTCGATCTCTACTCGGCCATACACGAGTACACATGACTGCTACACAATTTTCTAAAAGTGTGTGCAGATCTGATTAACTCTCATAGTCATTTTTTTCTTCCGCAAAAAAATATTATTACTATCTATTTTTAACTGTACACAAAATCCCCAATGTACAATACGTGTGTGTTCTTATGCTGATTCCGCGTTTTGGCCCCAGAGTATTTTTCATTTATGAAAGTAATTGTGCAATAAAATTCATTTTTAGACAGCTGATGACTAAATTGGCCTTCAAAGTTAGTTTTTAAGAACATCAAGTTTATATTTTACCTGTTTTAAAGGGCTAATTTTTTGTGTGACTGTCCTTATTTTCCGAAAAGCCAGATTTTTTTTGTAGTATGAAAATATGAAGATGTTGCAATGAGAAAACTCTCCACAGGACATCAAATGACACAGAAGTTAACATATATATGTCACCGTACGGTCGAATGTTTTACAAACACTTTTTTCACACGAACCTTTTTTTCAGTCCATGGGATTGAAATTCCATTTTTGGCCAAATTTTGGGGAAAGATGTGATATATTTACCCTCTTTTTTGTTGTCATGGATACACCAAAAAGAAGTATATTTAACAATTCAACTACTGGATATCAAATCCAAGGAAAAAAATTACATACATATGCACATATATGACACAAACAGTAGGCTTGATTTGTAAGGAAGCAAGGAAAAGCAGATGGTAAAATTTATGTATATTGCTATCTAACATTAATACTAATCCAGTGACAAATCTCATTTTGTGGTGTCATTTTAAAGAAAAGATTAGTAAAATTCCCACAACATATCAGCGTCCTACTTCATTTATTGGGGTTCTCTTTGTTGCGCTCCTGCAATTCTCTAATACTTTTGATTTTGCCATTTGATTAGGGACGTTCCGTTTTGAATTTTTCTCTGAGTTCAGAATTTTGTGATTTTACTTCATACTGCCCACACAGTGGTCTCCGTATCGGCCACTGCCTCGCCTAGATTTCTCGGCGCCCGTTGCTGTCCACGTCTTCTGGTTCGTCTTCTACGCTCACTTCAAGCTCCGTCACAGCTATTAACCGGTCTTTCTGAGCTCTAACCACCTTGCTCACTAATCCAACTGCTTTATTTCCATGTAGATATTTTAAATGTATGATTTTACTGAGACCTTCTGTGAACTACTGAAACTAACCAAATAAACGGAGAAAGTGTCCATGGGACACAGATAATAACCCAGCTTACATGATATAACGTTATTAGAAGTCATTACCCAAGAACGGTAAATGTGACGCCACCCAATTCGCACTTGATCTGTGTTTTATGGTAATAAGCATGCCATTATTGGTGTATAGCTTTCATAAAATTCGGTTGAGGCAAAATAAAATTAGAGAACGGAAACTCATTGATGTACTTACGGACAGACAAGGGTAACACTAAATGTCCCCTCTGCTGCAGCGGGTCATATAAAAAAGGCAGACGTTTTTATACTGATATTGTACACACTCGACAAATTCCCGACTATCCCTACAAACCCTATACGATGAGGTCGATCCGGTCTGGTCGAGATCAGGCTGAGATCGAGTATAGTTGACTTGGTCTAGCTAGTCGAGTAAAGATCGTGTAGAGGTCGTAAATTGGTCGGAAGAGTTTGATTACGCTTTGTCGTGGAAATGTGGACAATCGTGATCATCGAGTTGATCTGATCGGCAGTGTGAACCTAGCTTAATGGGTATTTGACAAGATTGATCAGCCTGTTTGATATGGAGTGAGACAATTGTTAATTGAATATTTGCTGTGATATTTTGAATAGGGATTGACTAATGGCGTCGGAGCAGTTATAGATCAGATGGTAAAGCGCAACTCTGGTCATATTGTTAATATATCGTCTGATTCTGGCAAGAAGGTATGTTTTTAAATCATCCATCAAATTTACTATGGCGTTATGCTTGACTTGTTTGTAACTAGTCAAATTGATTACGGTAATCTAAAATTTAACTAGTCAAATTGGTTAAAGCAATCTAAATGCTGTAGCGAATATCCTTTAAAAAAAGGCTAAAACCTTATAAAACAAGAAACCGACCAATTGTGACATTAGAATAATCCAATATATTCATTGGTTCATTTTGTACTTATTTGAATTTACCAGAAATGATTGCGAAAAAAAAAAGAAAAGATAAACTACCTACTAGTTAGTCTATTTTAGCCTATGGTCATAAGATTAAATAAAACTGAAAGATGGTGCTCGCTTCTTTACAATGATATGTTCCATCTGATGACATATTTCAGTTTTTATCTAGTGAACAAAAACAAAAAAAATCAAGTAAAAATGTCCACACAATACCATGAAGGTAGTTTTTCGACATTCTTGATAGCAATTGATCGGTTCATATTTTTTAATATAAGACATACAATTGCAGTTTTGTTTGATCGAAATGAAGAACTTTTGAAGATAAAACCTTTCTTCACATGCTGAAGTGATCATAGTTTTAATTTTTATTTTCTAAAAGTGTTTTTTCCCCAATAAATTCTATCGTTTACTCTCTGTTCACGACACCATGATTTACCTTATGTAATCCTTACAAAATCATTTCCCTTTTGCATAACTTTTACCTTGAAAAAAGCGCGATAACCTTTTTATTTCATATTTAAACAAAACGATATCAAAGTATATTTCACCAAAGTATAAACACTTCTAACATTTTTTGTTCAACAACTGTAATATCTTTTACACTGGTATGCTATTTATAACATTTAGATATCAAAATCAAATTATTTTAGGGATTTCCTGGTCTGGCAGTGTATACCGGAAGCAAATTTTTTATGGAGGGATTCTCCCAGACATTAAGACAGGAAGTATGTAAGCTGGGAATTCGAGTAACTGTTGTCCAACCTGGTAGTGTCAATGTTCCGGATAAGGCAGACAAACATATCGATCCAGAGGTATGCATAATGATCAGTTTCGTTTTCACTGTTTTATAATGGTTTCCCTTTTCTTTTGTTTAAATGAATCAAAAAGCCTTCTCCATCAACTTAAGGCCTAGTGTTTGATATTTAACGATAAGCTTTACACATATTATTGAAGGAACAGACAGGCAGGATATTAGCCAATAAATTTCAATGAAAGAAGTCGTAATATAATTGACAGAATCATTTCTAAAACAAACAAGAATTTTCAATTGGACTTATGTTTTAGTACAACTTTTTTAAAATTTAGTCTGTAATATTTTGAAAAAAACCTAGAATTGCATCTCTTTCTCAATCCTCAATCTTAAGGCCTGTTGGCACAAAATGTCTCAATTAGCAGATTTTCCCTTTCGTGCGTTTTGCTCAACGTATTTTCTTCTCTGTCGTATCTTAATGCTATAATTCTTTATAATCACATTATATAAAACATGAAATGAAAACTTTGTTAATACAACATGTATTTTTCATTTCATTCTCAGGTTAAGATATTTGAAGAAACGTTATCTGGTAAATCACTTGAACCAGAAGATATAGCCAATGCTGTTCTGTATGCTGTCACACAACCTGATTACGTCGGAGTAAATGAAATACTGGTTCAACCTAGAGATAAGCCGTTCTAAACAAAACTACATTTTTATTTGTATTGACGCATAAACAATTATTTACTTAATGTGTTGTAGATTAATCTCTTGTATTAGATGGTTATTCTTCAGCGTGTGGCTTTTATGAGTTATTCAAGTTGAATGTTAATCTTTTGATAGAATATTCACTTTGCATGTTTCATCTAAATATTCTAAATATCACCCAACATGACTATATGTTATCAATCTTTTTAATAACACATTCTATATTTGAGATAATTAAACATTGCTATTGTATCCTTTCAGTCTTAAAAAAAATATGTAAACTGAAAGAAAATTTAAACCAACTAAAGGAAATCGAAACCTTAAAAGATGACTGCAGTCCATGTTTTATTTGATGGCAGTTAAAAAGTCTATGAGCATTACAGTATGTATGAGCTCTTGCTCTGAGTGTATCTGAAGACATTAATAGCCTTTTTTGGTTGCATATCTACATGCTTATAACACACATGTCATTTATTTTGAAATTGGTAAAAATATCATTACACATGTATGTGTATTTCACATTATTTTAATAACAAAGGAAGCATCAACTGAACATTTTGAGTCCCAAGATTCATCACAATGTAATTCATTGAAGATCTGCATTTTAGATGAAGAAAATAAAGACTTGTGTATAATCTTGGTGATAAAAAATAAACAATTTTCATAAAGATTTTCATAACGGAATTTCTTTTTACAGGAAAATACGTCTGAGAGCTTTGATATGCAAGTATTTGATTTATTTTGCGGGAAAACGCTGTGTTTTGATACAAAGCAATCTGCCAGAGTTCAAACGATAAAGATATAAGCAGTTTTGTACGTTGTACTTAAACATGCTTTCAAATATTCGATTTTAAGAGTTGTTGTAAAAGTAAAAAATGTTTAAGAAACATATTTCCTGGACTTTTCCTTCCAATGTGCATTAGACAATGAAATTGAGAATGGAAATGGGGAATGTGTCAAAGAGACAACAGCCCGACCAAAGAGCAGATAACAGTCGAAGTCCACCAATGGGTCTTAAATACAGCGAGAAATTAATTCCCGCACCCGGAGGCGTGCTTCAGCTGGCCCGGGCCGAAACAAAAATGTATACTACATGTAGTTCAGTGATAATGGACGTCATACTAAACTCCAAAATATATAAAAGAAAATAAAAAAAAAAAAAAACATACAAGGCTAACAAAGGCCAGAGGCTCCTGACTTGGGACAGGCGCAAACATGCGGCGGGGTTAAACATTTCTTTTTATATCTCAACCCTTCCCCTATACCTCTTGCCAATGTAGAAAAAACAAACACACAACAATACGCGCAGTTCAAAAGAAGTCCGAGTCCGATGTCAGAAAAGGTAACAAAAGAAACTAAACAATGATACATAAATTAACAAAGGACTACTAGCAGTTACTGACATGCCAGCTCCAGACTTCAATTAAACTGATTGAAAGATTATGTCTTCATCTTATGAATATCAAGTACAATCCCTCCCGTTAGGGATTTAGTATCATACCATCATAAAATATATGAGAAAACATAACCCGTATCATGCCGACAACTGGTTTTAGAATAAATGTGTTTATTTCCGATGCAAAGACCTTATAAGTTTTTTCAATAATAAAGCCAAAATATGCAATCTTTAATGAACTGACAACAGTATCGTAACTATACCCCTTCTCTAAAGTCTGTTTAAAGGTTTTGTTAGATTTTGAGGTGAATGACGACATTTTTGTTATTTGTAAAGATTATTACCGTAAAAAATTGGATGTGAAATACCTGAACGTATAAGATGTCTGCATGTTGAATTATATTTACAAATGATGTCCTTGTACCGATGATAAAATTTAGTAAATGCTTTGACGCGTTTGTGATATCGAAAACCCTGGTGTAATAATTTTTCAGTAGTACATAAATTTCTCTCGCTAAAATCTAATACGTTGTACCTCAGGAATAGATTACTTTAGCTGTATTTGGCAAAACTTTTAGGAATTTTTGGTCCTCAATGCTCTTCAATTTTGTACTTTAATTGACCGTTTTAACATTTTTTTACTCGAGCGCCTCTGATGAGTCTTTTCTAGACTAAACACGCGACTGGCGTAAATATAATTTCAATCCTGGTATCTATGATGAGTTTATTTACATACACGAGCGAATCGTACAAGTTGAGATATATAAATACCATATGACGTCATCGACTGTTCTGCTTTCATTTGTGCGCTTAACAAAGTTAAAGGGGCATTAGCTACGAGAAAAAAAGAAAAAAGAAAATGATTTAGTTAAGTTCAATCATTAATAAAAGTGAAAAAATAAAACAATAATTTTCATTAAACAGCTATATATGTCTGCACATAATCATGTCTAATGAGACCCAGTTGAATTAGTGAGCAATTCAGGCTCCTTGAAGCCTCTCTTTATGTTTGGCATGTATGTAGATACCTCAAGATGATTTGTTTTGTACCCGAAGGTTTATGTGTGCTATTGCAATCGCTTGTCGTCCGTAACAGCGGCTGATTTTTTTATGAAGTCCAAATTTGGAGCACACCTTTTGGGTAGGAAACATCTAATAGGAAAAAATCAAACTAACATTATTCTCAAAAAGAAGATAATTGGTTTACGCTACAAACTTCGCCCTCTCTGATGACAATTTTGAATTTCTTATCGGCTCTAAAAGTGACAACGCTAAGCCTGTCGTAATTATGAAATAACAATGAGGAGCCTGTAATTCATATGAAGCAGGATCTGCTTACCCTTCAGGAGCACCTGAGATCACCCCTAGTTTTTGGTGGGGTTCGTGTTGCTTAGTCCAGTTTTCTATGTTGTGTCTCGTGCACTATTGTTTGTCTGTTTGTCTTTTTCTTTTTAGACAAGGAGTGGTCAGTCTATTTTCGATCTATGAGTTTGACTGTCCCTCTGATATCTTTTGCCCCACTCGAAAAAGGATATTTTCGCCAACATCTTCCATCTTGTTAAAGCTGTCAGCCATTATCAGAGGCCATGATTTCCCAGTTCGAACAGATGTAGAATATTATGTTGTTTGTGAGAGACCTATATGACCTAAAATTCGAGTTTTAAGGATATTTGCAATGGAAATCTACTTGTTGTATGACAATGGTGCAAGTAAGTCATGTTTAAAAATGATGGCAGATAAACAGTTTATTCCAATAACTATTTACATCATATTTTTCCCACCAAAGTTACTTTTTCAGTTTAGCTTAAAATAATCTTCTAAAATAATGTATAGTTACTCCTATTATCATGGATGTGTGATAACAGATGCTTTTGACAGTTTTAAAGTTATTTGACCTGTGTATTTACCCATCTAGTATTGTCATGAACATGATAACAGATGTTGTAGACACTTTTAAGGTACTGTGAAATACATATAACATAACTTCTATTGTCATGGATGTATGGTTACAGATGCCGTAGACACTATTAAGATCTTTGGTCTGTTTATTAACGGGGTTCTTACTTCTATTGACATGGATGCGTGATACTATACGTTGCAGAAGTTTTAAAGTACTTTGCTATCCGTATACGACCATTTCTCTTACTTAGCTTTTGATGGTTGTATGCTATTAGATACAGTAGACAGTACGTAAGTACTTTTTCTGTTGTGTTTTTTTAAATTTTTTTAGATGATCAGTATTTGACAAAGTACTTTGTACCTAAGCAATTGTCATGTAAATTAAGCTTAGTATTACTTGTGTCCTAGTCTTACAATATAATATTCCTTTAACATGTTTAACATAATAAAGCTAGTAGTCGTTTTAATGGAATATATAGTATATATGACTTGTGCTGTGAATTTTTGTTTGAAGGTATATGGTATAAAATAGCTAAAGATTTTCTGCGCACGTAAACATATATCTTTCTCTATCACATTGTGTGTATAAACCAGCCAGCTATTTGGTCCATGTGTGCGCGTTTACTTTTTTTGTTTGATTTTGTGCCTCATATATACAATATATCAATATAGTCAGTTCTTGGTGGTTGATATGGACTAATATACTGTCATAAATCCAGAATTGCAGAAATAGTTGGTACCTATAATTATGTCATTAGATATGTAAAAAGTTTTTAGTTATGACTTTATTGATCAGTAGTATTCGACAAAACTGATGATACCCAAACAATCTTCATGAATAGCAATAATCCGAGCGTTCTAACAGAGTATAATTTTAATAACATTTACAGTACCAATTGCAATGCACCAAATATGCATTTCGACAGTGATGCTGGAGACTAACATAGTTGAAAGTCAAAAACCTAACACAAGTGGTGAAGGGCTGATAGAACCAAAAATATGCAAAAGTTACTCCCAACCCGGACAAGAATCAGAGCTATACAATAGGGAGATACATTTGATAACATAGAAATAATTTGGAATTTTATATCAGCAAATATACACATAAAATGTCCGCAATTTAAGGACAGAACTGAAGTATTGACAACAGTAAAGCACATGTAATGGGCCGATATATGTCTAATTGCAAACATAAATTTATACTTTCACGAGAATGATTACCTAATGAAACGTCAATCAAAATAAATTTCTACCACATACATTTTGTAGTCATCTTATAAATACTCCATCGATATTGATCTAATTAGAGAGATATTCAAATGTATTAAGGTATATTCAATCTGTTGTGCGTTGTTGTTTTTCCTTGTTTGTTTCCAGTAGTAGTATCGGTTAATTTCGTACGAGCTCTGTAATGTTCTTGGTGGTACTTGGTCTCTAGTTTTCTATGTTGTGTGTTGTGTTCTATTTTTGTCTGTTTGTCTTTTTCTTTTTAAGCAATGTTAGTCAGTTTATTTTCGATTTATGAGTTTTGAATGTTCCTCTGGTATCTTTTGCCCCTCTTTTGTAGGTATTTTGTGTTTAAGGTTTGGAATGAAGTCACACTTGCATACATGTTAGTTTGTTGTAATAAAAACATAAATGTTTAAGAATGTATTCACAATTTATGTAGTTGAAAAAGGTAAACAAAAGTATATCTATATATTTCGTAATTATATAAAAATGTATAAAAAAAAACAAAATTAATTAATTTAGTGAATAAGAATCGTTCAGGAAATTGTTTTGACCTCACTTTGTTTTCAAGCGAATACATTTTGTTATAATTTAATTTCAGTATATCCAAGTACATATCAGGTATGGTCTTCATTGTATCACTAAACTTGTATCGTGTTATAATTTATATAGAGAATGACTTAACACCGCTGACATATTGTTGCTAGATATCACAAACGCATCAATTGTAGCCTGAAATGTCATAGTAAGGGTCAATAGGACTTTCTCACGACATAATTTTTTTCAGCCGTTTAGAAGTTTTAACATCCTTTTTTCTGCTGACCGACATACATCATCACATTGCAAAGCCTTTTCATAATAATGATAAGCTATGTCATTATGACCAGATATCCCATAACATACTCCAAGTATTGTAAATGTATTAGAACAATTATGTAATGACCTGCAGTTTGATATCGTTAATAAATCACTTAATGTCTGTTGTCTGTTGAAAGAATCACCAATATGATGATAGCATAGAAATCTAAGGCAGGTAGATATTACAATAAATTGGATTATGAATTTATCGTCTTCTACCTCCAGATGTAGTTCTTATGGTATTAATGATGAGTGCTTTAAGTACGTTACATCATCTGCAATAGCTATTCTCATCCTATCATTCAATGACATTGTATGATGTAATTTTTGTCTGTAACTATGTATATGTACTTCACATTCTTGCTTTTGACAACTAAACGCTAAATCAGGTGACAATCTTGATAGAACATAATGAATTAGTTTAATGTGTAACATTGAACTGTCCTGTTACATAAAAAAAACGACGCGTATAACAACCAACCCGAAGTAGCATCTCTCCTGGTGCCATCTTGTAAATGTCTATGATAACATTTGCGTATGATGTACGTGTTATCTATTGTGTTTGGATGTGGTAGTAGTTGTGATATAAATTGACTGGCTCTAGCATGATAATATTGATAAAATTGAGAATGGAAATGG